AGTTGGAGATGAAGATGGAGTGAGGATGAGGGTGGAAATGGGGATAAAGATAAGGAAGGAGATGAAGATGGAGATGGGGATGGGGATGTAGATGAAATGGGGAAAGGGATGGGGATGAGGATGAGGGTAGGAATGGTGATGGGGATGGGAACGGAGATGGGGAATGAAATGGGGATGGGGATGGGAATGGAGATGGGGGATGAGGTGGGGATGGGGATGGGAATGAGACGGAGGAGGAGGCGGAGAGGGGGAGTAGGGTGGGAATAGGAGTGTAATAGGGGAAGCCTAAGTGAAGGAAGGCTGTAAACTCTGAGGCTCTGAAACTGACTTTTATTGGGCTATGTGGGTAGGAATGCCGTACTTGGTCAAGAGAAGGGAAAGAGAAAAGAAGAGGGAGATGCTAATAGTGACGTGCAGGGTGAAGCATCTGTCAGGAGCCAGGGACTCCTGGATGGAGATGGCTCCCTGACTGCCGGCACTCAGAGCCATCCTCAGGAGACAGGAGGTGAGATGCAGAGTGACATTTTCCTAGGACTCACTGACTGGGGAGTATATTGATGGGGAGGGTGTGGGAAACCTGAGGTGTCCACGCTGATATTAACAGCTCTGCTATGTCATCGTCCATACAACTGAAATCTGTTATTGTCTTACGAGCTTGATTAACTATACATATTGCTAACACCTGCTCAGAAATATAACGAGGGATGGGAACACAGCTCCAATCAGGGTCTGTGTGGGTGGTGCGCGTGACTCAGGTGCAGATCTCCTGTGTGTGTGTATGAATGCTTGTGGGGGTGGGGAGTGTAAGCACCATGCTGTGCAAAGAACCCTAGCCAGGATTTGGAAGGCGAGGGGCCATTCCAGGCTCTGCCACTGACTTAGGGTATGATTGTAGCCAAACCTGTGTCTCTCTCTGATCTCAGTTTGCTTACTTATAAAATGGAAAGTCTAGACCAGAGTTGTTCAAGAGAAACATAATGTAAACTACACATGTCACTGTAAGTTTTCTAATAACCACATTAAGATAAGTTTAAAAAAGAAAAGGTGAAATTAATTCTAGTAATATATTTATTAAACCCAATATATCCAAAATATTATCATGTCAACATGTTACACTTACAATATATCTTATACTCTTCTTAAAAACGAAGACTTCAGTTTTACACTTATAGCACATGTGAACCTGAACAAACCACATTTCAGGTGCTCCCCTGCTGCATGTGTGAGTGGCTACTCCATGGGACAGCCTGAATCTAGGGCATTTTCTGATCTCCTCACTAAACTGTGAATGCCCCAAAGGTACGACCATGTTTTATTCCTCCTGTCCTTAGCAAGGAGGCTCAAACAAGAATGCTAGTAAATCACATTGACAATAAGCACAGCTAATATGTAATTGGGTGCACTTTCAAAACACTTTGCAGGCACTACATTAATGAATCTTCACAAATACCTTATAATTCCGTTTTTCAGATCAGGAAACCAGGCTCAGAGAGGTTAAGTAACTTGCCCAAGGTCACACAGCCAATAAGTGGTACAGCTGATCTTTGAAATTTGGCTAGTCTGATCTAGAGCCCACCTCCTTAGCCATTGTCCTATACTACCTCCCTTATTTGTAGTCCTACAAATAATTAAAATTGCTACCTTGCATTGCAGGTAACTTACACATGCCATCACATTTACTCTTCAAAGCAAACCTCTCAGAAGTCAGGCACAGTGGCTTGCACCTGTAATCCTAACACTTTGGGAGGCTAAATTGGGAGGATCACTTGAGGCCAGGAATTCAAGACCAGCTTGGACGACATAACAAGACCCTAGCTCTACAAAACATTAAAAAAAAAAAAAAGCTAAAAACAAACAAACAAACAAAACAAAAAAACAAGAGTGGTGGCACACACCTGGGGTCCCAGCTACTTGAGAGGCTGAGGCAGGACAATTGATCACTGGAGCCCAGGAGGCCAAGGCTGCTGTGAGCCATGATTGTGCCACTTCACTCCAGCCTGGGTAACAGAGTGAGACCCTGCCAAGAAGAAAGAAGGAAGGAAGGAAGGAAGGAAGGAAGGAAGGAAGGAAGGAAGGAAGGAAGGAAGGAAGGAAGGGGAGGGGAGAGAAAAAGAAAAAAGAGAGAGAGAGGGAGGGAGGGAAGAAGAGAGAAAGAGAAAGAAAGAAAGAAGGAAAGAGAGAAAGAGAAAGAAAGGAAGGAAGGAAGGAAAGGGAAAGAAAAGAAAGAGAAAGAAAGAAAAGACAGAAATAAAGAGAGAGAAAGAAAGAAAGAGAAAGAAAGAAACAAAAGAGAGGGAGGGAAGGAGGGAAGAAAGAAGGAAAGAAAGAAAGAAGAAAGAAAGAGAAAGAAGGAAAGAAAGAAAGGAAGGAAGGAAGGAAGGAAGGAAGGAAGGAAGGAAGGAAAGCAATACTCTCCTCTCAGGAAGGTTCTAGGTGTCTGAGCTCTGTTGGCTCAGTGAAGGTAAGAAAGAATGAATGAGTGATTTTAAAGGAACCACCTGCCTGGTTCTGAGCCTCTAGGATTCTTGGAGGGTATCCTGATACCTATTCACCTGCCATCACCAGCCACGCCAGAGTTTTATGCTAAGCTCTAACTGCAGAGGTCACTGATCTTTAGGGGAACTGAGTAACTGGAGCCACCCACGGCATCCGTTCCTGATGGAATTGGATTATAAGGCATCCATGGAAGGTAGGTGAATGTTCCTGGTGGTTCAAATGTGTACTTACATCTAAAGGCACCAATAGATACAAGCTCGCTTTTTCTTCCCAAAGGTTGAGGTGGCTCAGCTTCATGTCAGAGGCTGGGCTCTGGAGTCAGACGGTCTGAGTTCAAATCCTGGCTCTTCCTCATACTGGCACTGTGAGCCTGAGCAAGTTGCTTCACCTCTTAAGTTTCCCCATCTGTAAAATGGGAATAAATAAACCCAGCTCGTAGACTGATGGTGAAGACGGAAATAATGCACACACGTTAAGAACTCAGAACGGGTCCCAATTCCTAAGTGTTAGCCATTATGGGTTCTTGTGTGGGATCCAGGTTTTTGGTCGAGTGTTGGAAAAGTTAGATTGCAGAATCTGCAATTCCTAGGTAATTGACGTATTCTGGTGTATTTCTCCCTTCTCAGAATTCCTATCCCACTTACCATCTGTTTTATGCGATGTTACGCTTAATTACAATTCTCCATCTATTGTTCTCCCATTGTCTTCTGTGTGCTCTGCTTCTCTTGCCGACAGCATGAGTTGGCTCCCTGAATGAATGAATGACTCATACCTGATTTCATTTCACTAGGCCTTGAAATAGAGTTGCCCGTGTGTCTGTCGCCCCCACCTGACTGTGAACTTTGCAATGCTTTACCTGTTTCATCATTGGGCACCTCCTGGCAGCACCTGGCATCATTCCTGGCACCTAGTAGGTGTCAGGAAATGTTTGCCGAATTTAATTAAACTTAACTGGAGTGAAAACCCCCTGCAGGAAGGAAAGGCCCACACCTCTTTATTTTCTCTGCTTCCCTCCCTGTGCATGGCCCAAGGCTGGGTAAGTCAGAATTGACAGATTTTCCCAAGCGAGGCTCTAAGATTCTGGCTCCTGTCCTGCTGATTATGAGGTGGTTAGGGAAATAATATCAGAAATCACAATAATAGCAAATTCCTACCATATGCTAAGCCTTTCATATGCATTAGCTGGTTTTGTCCTGCAAAAATGTCTGCTAAGTATTAATGTTATTCCCATTTAGCAAACTGGAGGACTGAGGCTCACAGTTTTGGTGACCTGCCCAAGCACGTGGAGGTGGTAGTGACTGAGCTGGGATTCAGACCCAAGTGTGCCTGATGGCCCAGTCCCTACCCCTTGCGATGCCCCGTAGTGTCTGGGAGCAAGGGTTTTGACAAACCAGCCAGGGGTAGTGGGTGAGGAGAGAAGAGAGGTTCAGTGGGTGGGAGGGGTGGCCAACAAAAACAAGCCAACTTCCAGAAAGGAAGGAAGGAAAGACTCCTGGCCACAAATACTTGTCCAGATGCCCCCATCTGAGTGTATGGTACCATCTTCCCCAGCTGAAATTCCCGCTCTGTTTTCAGTCTCTTCCAAATGCAAGCCAGATGATGTCACTGCTGTTACTGAAAACTTTCAGTGGCTCCCCATTGCTCTCAGAATAAAGAAGAAAAACCCGTAACCCATGCTTTAAAGATGAATCCGCCCTCTGGGGGCTAGGGCAGAAGAAGGAGGGAAAAAGCCCCAAAGTGTAGCAGTTGCTGTTTTTTGTGATGTGAAAATACTCACTGTGACAAGTTACAAACGGTTAACTGCTGGTTCACAGAAATCCCGAAAATGTCACAACCTGTTCCAGCATGCCAGTTCAAGTCATAATCCCCCTGACAGCATGCCACATGCTCTGTGCCCTGCCCATATGCCCAGCCCCGCTGGGCACCACATTCCCCCTGGCCTGCCCCGCTCTCTCCTGGCCAACCTACTGCCGGGCCCTGGCACAAAAATAAGCCAGGCATGGTGGCACACACCTGTGGTCCCAGCTACTTTAGAGGCTGGGAATCTCAGGGTTTGTTAAAACTCAAGGTGTTAAAACTCAAAGCTCCTTCTACCTGCCATGCTATCTCCCACCTACTCTTGTGACCTCAGATCACAGCAGCAATGTGGCTGCTTCAGCAGCATCTGCCTGGAACTCCCAGGCTCGGGCAGAGTCCCCTCAACACACCGTGATTCCTCTGGGGATCGGATGCACTTCACACTTTGATCTGTGCCATCTCTTGATTCCTGTCTGTCTTCTGCACTAAGCTGCAAGCTCCAGGAGGACAGGGCTCTTGCCTATATTCCCAGCAAGGACATGTTCCTCACTGTAATGGATGCCAATGGCACCCCCTGGCGTTCGACAACACCTGCCCTCCCCCACCCCTGGCACCCAACATGGACCTGGGCCATCTTAGGTGGTCAGTGAACTCTTCCTGAATCTCCCAGTTGAGTCTTTGTCTTCCTGTGCTTCCTTTTGGGGCAGCTCCTCCCACCTCCATTGAAGTGGTGGCCGCTGACACACCAGCCCCCTTCAGCCGCTACCAAGCCCAGAACTTCACGCTAGTCTGCATCGTGTCTGGAGGGAAACCAGCGCCCATGGTGAGTACCCCTGGAGCGCCCAGCTCCTTCCCATCTGCCGAACCACCCTGCTTCGGGGCTGGTCCAGCTGTAGGTGTCTCCACTGTGCCTGGAGAGGGAGTGGTTGGCCAGGGCTGACTCTGTCCCCATCTGCCTTTGTCCGATCCCGTTTACCCATTGGATCGGCCCAGGCATCCATGTGCCCCTGTTGCTCCCCATCTCCCCATGCTGAGAACCCCCACTCCTCCTGGAGGCAGAGTCCTAGAACTTCACAGCAGGAGTGGCCTTCTGGGGAGCCCAGGATCCAGCATGCCAACCCCAGTTTTTGAGCCCAACGGAGACAAATGAAAGGGGGCCCCGAGAGGGAAAGGGGCTTGTCCCAAGTCACCATGGCACTCCTGACAGAGCTGGGTCTCAAGTCCGTGTCTCTAGCTCCAGGTTCACTGGCCTTCCCAGAAGCCCATGTGATCATCAGGAATCCCATCTGAAAGAAGGAGGGAGAGGATGGAAGGGAGAGAAGGAAAGGAGAGAAGGAAGGGAGGGAAGAGAGAGGAAATTCCTTTTTGACCAACTTATTAGACCCAGTGTAGTTTCTTAGATATTTGTCAGTGCAGTTCATGAGATTTTTCATGACCTCTTGAAGGGGGTAGGGTAGGAGGTGCAGCGTCTGGAGAGCTGGGGGTCCCGGCCATGCTGTACTCACCGAACAACGGTGAGCAGGAAATCCCCCCTCCCCACCTCTGCCTCTGTTTCTGCAATGAAGTTGAGGGGGCTGGACAATATTCGTTTTTCAGCTTTTTTAGAAGCACAAGGACCCTTTTGGTCTCAATGGTATACAGGGAAACCTCATATGTATGACATTGAAAAGTGAAGAGAGGCCAAGTCACTCTCATTGACACCTGAAGCACCACTTTAGAACCCGTAGGGTTCCATGAAGCCTGTTTGGAGAATCTTCAAGCTACGTACTCTTTCGGTTTTGACATTTTGTAATACTTTGTGTCTTGATCCTATGAGTTTCATACAGTACTAGGATTTAGCAAGGTGTGGAGCTAGAGCAATGGGTATGTAGGGTTACAGTTCAAGACGGGAGCCAAATGGTTCCCCTCATTCCAGACCCAACTGTCTACCAGGCATGGTCCAATGGTGTGGCCTTGGGAATCTAGGCCAGCCCTGCCTTGGGAACTGGGGCAGGGTGGTAAATGGGTATGTAGAGGCCCAGGACAGGGCAGTAAGCAGGTGCACAGAGACACAGGCGAGGCAGCAGGCGGGGCACAGGGATGCAGATGGGGCAGCAGGCAGGGGCACAGGGATGCCGAGACACAGGTGGGGTGGTGGGCAGGGGAGTAGAGACACAGGTGGGGCAGTGGGCAGGGGCACAGAGACACAGGTGGGGCAGTGGGCAGGGGCACAGAGACACAGGTGGGGCAGTGGGCAGGGGTGCAGAGACACAGGTGGGATTGTGGGCAGAGGAAAAGAGACACAGGTGGGGCAGTGGGCAGGGGTGCAGAGACACAGGTGGGGCAGTGGGCAGGGGTGCAGAGACACAGGTGGGATTGTGGGCAGAGGAAAAGAGACACAGGTGGGGCAGTGGGCAGGGGTGCAGAGACACAGGTGGGGCAGTGGGCAGGGGCACAGAGACACAGGTGGGGCAGTGGGCAGGGGTGCAGAGACACAGGTGGGGCAGTGGGCAGGGGCACAGAGACACAGGTGGGGCAGTGGGCAGAGGAAAAGAGACACAGGTGGGGCAGTGGGCAAGGGTGTAGAGACACAGGTGGGGTGGTGGGCAGGGGTGCAGAGACACAGGTGGGGCAGTGGGCAGGGGTGCAGAGACACAGGTGGGGCAGTGGGCAGGGGTGCAGAGACACAGGTGGGGCAGTGGGCAGGGGTGCAGAGACACAGGTGGGGCAGTGGGCAGGGGTGCAGAGACACAGGTGGGATTGTGGGCAGAGGAAAAGAGACACAGGTGGGGCAGTGGGCAAGGGTGTAGAGACACAGGTGGGGCAGTGGGCAAGGGTGTAGAGACACAGGTGGGGTGGTGGGCAGGGGAACAGAGACAAGCCTCAGTCCCTAGGAAGTGGACCAAAAAAGGTAGCTTCAAAGCCAGTTGCTGAAAGCAGGACATGACCCCAGATTTTCTCCTTTGGAGGCCCTAAAGAGGTCCAGTCTCCCTAAAATCAGGAAAGCTGTTTTTTTCTCACAAACAGAAAGTCCTTTCCTGAAAGGCTTTTCACAGTCCAGGGACTGCAGGAAGACCCCCCCTCCTATCCATCCTGTCTGCCTGCCCTGACACGTGCGACATGGCAATAAAATATTCAGATATAAACATGCAAAAGAACCTCATCTCCCCAAATCCCAGGCATCTTATGTTTGCCTGAGACATCAGAACTTTAAAGAAATTCTTTTGATATAAATTACAAACCTGCATTTAAAGCACTTTTCAAAAAGAAAAAGGAAAAGAAGAAAATAAATGGGGAAAAAAAAAACCCAACGCAGGCTATCATGTGCATAAGAGACTCTTCATTGACGTTACAAACTCTGACGAAAATCCCACATTTCATACCCCCATCCCCTCCCACCTCCTTCACCCCCCTGCAGCGCCTCCCCCCGCACACTTTCCTTCTGCTCCCCTACCTGAGTCCCAGAGAGCCGCATCCCACTTTTCCCTCTCCCGGCCCCCTATCAGTTTATTTATCTGATTTATTAAAAATACATCTAATCCCCACAGGCCTTTGGGCACATGTACCAAAATAAAAAGACAGCAAATTAAATTAAATGCCGCCTCGCAAAACTTGAGTTCCCATTAGCAGAGAAAGCGAGGAGGTGTTTGCTCTCACCTCCTCCCCACACCTAGCTTCCTCCCACACATGCACCTGTTTTCTGCCTTCCATCTCCAAAATACACACGCACACAGATTCTTTCTTTCCTCATCCTCTCCCAACTTCTCACTTAATCTCTGGTGCCTTCCATTTTTCCCTCATCCCCATGCCCTCCCCGAGTGGTGCCCTTGGACCCCAGGTGGCCGCCATGGTGTAGGCCAAGGTCCCCATTTCCCACGTGGTTCCACTGAGACATCCAACAGCCCCATGAAGCAGGTGTCTTATTCTTCTCTTGACAAGTGAGGAAACTGAGGCTCAAAAAACCTCACCAGGTGGTAAATGATGGGATTGGGCTAAGCCTCTGCCCCAAGGGCCTGCATGTGTTCCCATTATACCACACTGGCTCATAGTTCTTGGCGGTGTAGGAGGGAAAGGAGTGGGGTGTGGGTGACTGTCTAGACTGCTATGCTCTGGAAGAACTGGCATCCTGTGCCCAGTTCATCGGAGAGCCCACTGGGAGGTTGAAGTTAGTAGCACAAAATCTTTTTCCACACTCTCCTTGCAATGGCAGGTTTATTTCAAACGAGATGGGGAACCAATCGACGCAGTACCCCTATCAGAGCCACCAGCTGCGAGCTCCGGCCCCCTCCAGGACAGCAGGCCCTTCCGCAGCCTTCTGCACCGTGACCTGGATGACACCAAGATGCAGAAGTCACTGTCCCTCCTGGATGCCGAGAACCGGGGTGGGCGACCCTACACGGAGCGCCCCTCCCATGGCCTGACCCCAGATCCCAACATCCTCCTCCAGCCAACCACAGAGAACATACCAGAGACGGTCGTGAGCCGTGAGTTCCCCCGCTGGGTCCACAGCGCCGAGCCCACCTACTTCCTGCGCCACAGCCGCACCCCGAGCAGCGACGGCACTGTGGAAGTACGTGCCCTGCTCACCTGGACCCTCAACCCACAGATTGACAACGAGGCCCTCTTCAGCTGCGAGGTCAAGCACCCAGCACTGTCGATGCCCATGCAGGCAGAGGTCACGCTGGGTAAGGCTTGGTGGGGGCCCTTCTGTAGAGCCCTTGCAGACCTGGGTGTGGTGAGCGCCTTGGAATAGGGTTCCCGGGCTGTGGACACCTATGGAGAGGGGGAGGAGATGCAGCAAACTGGAAATGGAGCAAACTGGAGTGCAAAGGGTAGAGTTAGGGTTCTTAGCCGGGTTTGCTGAGCTGGATTGGAGAAGATCCTTGGTCATGTGTGGGGAGGTACCCACAGGCCAAGGTAGTTTGCTGGGTTGAGCCAAGAACATGAGAGGTTAGAGGAGTTTGCTAGACAGGGTCAGGGACACAGGAGATCAGGGGAGGTCAGAGGAATTGCTTCAAAGCCAGTTTAATTTGATATAAATTACAAACCATTTAAAGCACTTTTCAATTAGGATTAGGTCAGGAACTTGAGCGGTCTGGGAGGTCTTCTGGAAGGATCAGAAACAAGAGACTGAGGAGATTTGCTGGGTTGGGTCAGCAACATAAGAGGTCAGGGAGTTTGCACAACCCGGATAAAAAAGATGGAAAGTCAGAAAAATCTGCTGGATTGGTGTTAAAAACAGGGGAGGTTTTCTAGGTCAAAAATGGAACCAGGAAGTTTGCTGGGTAGATAAAGAATATACAAGGGTCGGGTTTCTTCAGGAAGGGTTGCTGAGTCAAGTCAGAAGCATAGAAGGTCAGTGTGAAGACCAGGGGAGGCCAAGATTTTTCCAGTCAGCCTCAGGAGCACGAGATCAGGGGACATTTGTCGGGTCAAGGAGAGGAACCTCGAGGTCACGGCCTGCTCAGGGAAGTTTTCTATATCACAGGTGGGAACAAGGGAGGTGACAGGGAGATTTTCTGGGTTGCATATGAGCCCAGTGAGCTCAGAGGACAGTTGCTGCCTAACGGTTGTGAACCTGGGAGGTTGCAGGCTTGCTGGATCAGGTTTTGGAATTCTGAAAATCATAGGAAGCTTTGGCAGGTTGGGGTCAGGAACACATAATACATGGAAGGTATCGCTCTGACTTACACTTTTAAATACAATGAAAACCCTGTCATCTGTGGGTATGTGGGAGGCAGGCAAAGAGGACACTGGGTGCCCAGAGCTAGCTCAGCCCAAGAGCCCAATCCCTGTCCATGATCTGCTCTTCTCCCCACAGAGCACCAACCCAGGGATCCCCAAAGCACAAAGAACTCACTCCCTTCCCCTTATACTTCTCCTCCCCGCTGACTCAGGGCAGGGAAGGGGGAGATGTGGAATCTTCACTGCTGGAAATAGACAAGACTCTGGTTGTTTGTATGGACTGGGTGGGTGAGGGCAGGGGATGGGCACGATGACCTGTACTTGTCCTTTCACCTATGTCCTTTGAACCTTGATCCGCAGCCCCCACAGCTCCTCCCTAAGCCCGAGATGCCTGGGCTTATACTCCAAAACTCCTATAGTGTTCAGAGGCTGCCTGGCTCAGTCCACAGCCACTAACCCAGGCCACTCATGACCAAGGACTGAGAGTGGTGACTGACGAGCACTGGGACTGCAGCTTGTGTCAGGTGTTCCAGAGGGCTTCTGTTTTAGCTGGACCACCAGAAAACCCAACATCTCCTCAGTATCGAATACCAAAGAAAAGGATTTCTTGTACAGACAGTATGTACTATGTGCTAGGAACATCTGCAAGGATTCTCATCCAATCCTCATAGGCACAAGTTGGCCATGTAGTCCCATTTTGCAGATGAGCAAAACTGAGGCTCAAGTTGGTAGAGTCCCTTGCCAAGTCGTTAACTTTGTATATAGCAGTGTTGAAATTTCAAGTCAGGTTTATTGGTGCCTTCTTCACTCACTACCATGCCAACCACTGAACTCAACAGCTCCAGGACTGCTTGTCTTGGCTGGTTATGGGACTGGTTCCCTGAAGACCCATTACAATGGCCCTTTGATTTTCTCTCTCTCTGTCTTTTTTATTTTTATTTATTTATTTATTTTTATTTTTTTGACAGAGTCTAGCTCTGTCGCACCCAGGCTGGAATGCAGTGGGTGATCTTGGCTCACTGCAACCTCAGCCTCCCAAGTTCAAGTGATTCTCCCGCCTCGGTCTCTCAAGTAGCTGGGATTACAGGTGCCCACCACCACATCCAGATAATTTTTTTTTGTATTTTTAATAGAGACAGGGTTTCACCATATTGGCCAGGCTGGTGTCAAACTCCCAACCTCAGGTAATCCACCTGCCTCAGCCTCCCGAAGTGCTGGGATTACAGGCGTGAGCCACCGCACCCAGCAGCCCTTTGATTTTCACAGGCCACCTGCCCATACAGAAACTAACAATAAAGGCTAACATCTACTGAGCAGCTACTATATGCCACAGACTGTGGCTTCTCTTATATTAACCCAGTGAGGTAGGCACCTTTATTATCCCATATCACAGAGGAGGAAGCTGAGGCTCAGGGAGTTTAAGATACCCAAGGTGAGTGGGGGAGAATTCAAAGGCTCCAGAGGCTGCTCTAAGCCTCTCACTCTGCCTCCTCACGGCATCCCTCTGTCACAGGTGCCCACCTCCTGGGTACTCTTTGTTCATCATTCCATAAAGATATCACTGGGGCCAGTTCCATTTTTGACCTAGGCACCGGGCCAGGCACAGTGGCTCACGCCTGTAATCCTAACACTTTGGGAGACTGAGGCAGATGGATCACGAGGTCAGGAGTTCAAGACTAGACTGACTAACATGGTGAAACCCCATCTCTACTAAAAAAAAAAATATATGAAAATTAGCCAGGCATGGTGGTGCTTACCTATAATCCCAGTTACTCAGGAGGCTGAGACAGGAGAATCACTTCGTCTCAAAAAAAAAAGAAAGAAAAAGAAAAAACGAAGATATTACAAGCATCACTTAAGGCCAGGCCCTGTGCTACGTGCTGAGGTCTTCTCAACCCAGGGTCTGCTCCAACCCCTCTCTTGGTCCTCCCACCTTGCCAGCCCTTCACCCCTTTCTCTGGATCCTCCATCCTTCCATGGCCCCTTCCTCCCCCAACAGAGCAGCCTCCACCCTTCACCTGGTTGCTTCTTTTATGAAAGACCCCTCCAGCCCCTCTTGTGGAAGCTCCGGTTTCCAGCAGGGCGGCACCCTTGCCCCACCCCACCAAGAATAAGGACGAGAAAGACGAAAGGCCAGATACAGACTTCAAGGCAGCTGGTGTAAAGTGAGCTTGTAGCTGACATCTCCTAGTGATGGGAGGAGGTGTGCCCCTGCTGGCCTGTGTGACCCTTACCGACAGCACCCCAAACCACATTAAAGCGCTTGCCTGCTCTGTCCTGGATCCCAAGCCCTCCCTTAACTGGAGTTGCTTCTGTGGGCACCCCCGCTCGCCATCATCAGAGCAAGGGAAAGAAGGGCCCACTCATAAGCAGTGGGCCTGGACAGGCAGGTCTGTGCACACCGGGGGATTTGGGGCATGGGGGACACAGCAGGGCCACCAAGATGAAGGGCCCTAATTGGGTGGGTGAGTAAAGAGACACCTGGGCTGACTTCCTAGTCTCCCTCGACTGCTGAGTGAGAACTCAGACTTCTTAACGTCTCTGAGTCTCAGTTTTCTGACCTGATGAAGGGGGAGAATAGTAACTGCACAAATATTTTGAGCACCTGCTCAGAGCCAGGCTCTCTGCAAGATGCTTTCCTCATCAGGTCTCCTTTAAGCCTGCAGTGAACCCGCTGACAGATGCTATCATATTATTCCCATCAAGCCTGAGGTGAGGGACTCAGGCTTAGAGTAACCTTTCTTAGGTCAGCCAGTCAAGGTTGTCTGGCCCCAGAACCCACGTTCTTAACCACTGTGCTCTACAGCCCACCTGTCAGGGTTGTGGTGAGGTGTCACTGAGCCAGGGGGTGTGACCAGTAGAGAGTGCCATGAGCCAAAGGGTCGTGAGTGTATGCACCTTGCACCATCAGGGCACCCTGCACTCTGGGTGAGACAGTGGGATGGATGAGATGACCTCAGAGCACAAAATCCAATCATTCAACAAGGATTTTGAAGATCAGGCCAACAAGGGTGGGGCGTGTCTCCCTGCAAAGAACCTTCACTCCTGCTCTTCCCTCGCAGGGATGCCCTCCCCAGCTCAAATGCCACCCCTCCAGGAAGACTTCTCTGACCCTCCCCCAACCCTTCGAGCTGTTTGTGCCTCTTCTGAGTTCTTGTCTCACCAGATTTGTACCTTTCTTGGGATCTAGACCAGAGATGCCTGAGCGTCCTGGCACCCATCTCACTAAATGGCAACCATGTTCTTCCCATTGATCAAACCAGAAACCTTGCAGCCACCCACCTTTTCCAGTCTTTCCTCTATCCCACATGCAAACCGTCATTAAGCCCTGGCAGCTCGACTTCAGAATATATCCCAAATCTGCCACTCCTCACGATGTCCTCTCCGAATACCCAACCCAAGCAGCATCAGTTCAAGCCTGAGTTATTAGAGTAGCCTTCAAACTACAAGTCGCTCTGCTTCTACTTTTGCACTATCCTATTTCCCACCCTGATTGATCTACTTAAAATATAAATCAGATCATGACACCCACCCAAAACCTTCCTGTGGTAGACAAACAGTTTGATAAAACAGGATAGAGTCCAGAAATAGACCCACATACATAGAGTTCATTGATTTTTGCCAAAGACCCCCAAGGCCATTCAATCAGGAAAGAGTAGTTCTCTTAACAAATGACCCTGAAACAAATGAATAGGCATAAGGAAAAATTGAACCTGGACCCCTACCTCGCACACACACAAAAATTAATTTGAAATGAATCATAGATTTAACCATAAAAGTCAGCATCATGAAGCCTCTAAAACAAAACATAGACTTTGTGATATTGGTGTAGCAAGGATTTCTTAAAGTGGTCACAAAAAAACTAAATAAAAACTAAATGATAAATTGAAAATTGGTAAATTAGATTTAATCAAAAATTAAATCTTCTGCTCTTACAAAGACATCCTTGAGAAAAATGAAAGGCAAACTATAGAATAAGAGAAAATACTCTCAATACATA